TTTTCTCCGTGGGCCTTAGATATGGCTTAGAAAGCACCCTTGTGGAGTGAAAGTGACACAGACAGATGAACATGATTTATGCCTGTTCTCCCTGGGTGAAGGACATAACATCCCGATTTGTAAGATCTGCCAGAAGTTTACTGTGAAGGCTAGACGGGATAGAGCTTCCAAATTAAAGGCAGCTTTGTGGGAGAAGGCACTTAAAGCTTTGGACCCTGCTTCTGAATCAGCTCCAGATAAGCTGCACAGAAGTTCTATGGTGAAAACATGTAACTGTTAATCGAGTATCTTCTGTGCAGGCACACATACCCTCCCTCCCGCCCCAATTCATGCTCTTGCTTCAGCGGTGCTATAGGTACTGAGGGTGGGGGCCCTGCTGCCTGGGAGCACATGGTCCTTGAGCAGGAATAAAGACTCTAGCTCCTGTGCACAGCGCCCCTGGAGGCTTTTAGCAGTAAACTTCCTCGAGGGCAGGCCTGCTCATGTGCCTGCACAGAAGATAACCAATGAACAACAGTTACACATAACTGCAACTTTGTTTTCACAGTTTTTCTTACACTGAACTTCCTAAGAGGCAGTTAAGGGAAACAGGGTAGGATTTGAGCATCTCTTGAAGCTTCATCTATGAGATGACCAGGACTTCTCCTTCCACAAACATTTTGTATGGGTGTAGACTGTGTTCCTGTGTTCAGATATATGTCACCCTGTTCCCAATTTAACACAAAAATAAGGCATCCCTATTTCATTTGAACCATCCATCCTCTGGCATCAGTGAACTTTGCTTTTGTGATGTTTTCTTTTTTACAGCATGATTAGTGAAAATTTCTTTCTTTACATCCTTTAGATAGTTTATTTTATTATTATTAGTAATAGTTTATTAAGAACAGTCATAAGACCAGCAGAATGAACCAAAATATTAAACACAGAGTCCACAACATAAGAACCTTACAAGCTTAATTCCTAAAATACCACACCGGTCAATTCCATCATTAATGGCTTGAGTTACAGTACATTGCGCTTTTTAATTGCCAAGTAACAATATTTAGCAACATTGCGTGTGACAGAATCATAAGTATCAGCCAGTAAGAACTTCATCAAGCATTCCTCGGCATATGTAAGATAATTAGCCAGGGGTTTAAAACGTGCGAGAAGGGGTATCAGCAGCTGCTGTCTCTCTTCATCATACATAGGACAATGGAGTAATATATGGGCGGCCGACTCCACCTGTTCTAACAGACAGGAGCAAATTCTCTGGTGCATGGGAGTCCGGGTATATCTACCATAAAGTACTGCTGAGGGTAACACATCGAGCCGTGCTCTAGTAAATGCCCATCTATGGTCATCCTTTAGATAGATTCAGTGTATCGGAACTAAAATAATCAGACATATTTTTCACTATAATGGACTGCGTTTTCACATTTGGTTAATTGCTGCTGCATACATTTGGAGGTAGTTTTTGACTTTTCTATGTGGTTTCTCTGGGACAGTGAGAGAAGAATAAACTTCTTGTATCAGACTTTGCAGGTGATTTTTCTGGGTAATAGGAACTTTGAACCATATAGTGAAAATGTTATGATTTTTCTCGTATGTTCCTGCTGTTTTAAGTTATATTCAAGTATATAATTAATACCTCAAACTGAGAGCGTAATAAATGTGGGCCACGCTGAGTAATAAATAGAGTTGTGAGCTTGGACCAGGTAGACGTTCACGGGCTGACTTTGGGCCTGTCATTAGGCTTAAAAGAGGATAAAATACAAAAATTGTAGGTGTTCCTAGCAGAATTAGTAAAATACAAATGGTGATTAGTTAGTGCCCCTCCCAGCCTGTCGTACTATACTAGAGCATAGTTCTCCTTTTATAGACAGAAGAAAGGTTCATTCAGACTTTTGCACATTATGCAGAGCCAAACTCCAATTTGCCATCAAGCCTTCCAGAGCTTCCCCTCACAATTCACCCTATTCTCTCAGATCACCCTGTTCTTCCTCTTCTCTTCTGGCTTAATAGTTCATCTAAGAGAGAGTCAGTTAACTTTGGGAACTTCACATATACTTTGACAACTGCTCCTTGTGGTAAGGTGTTTAAGCATTTTACATTATAACATTATGTAGGAGATAGGTAAAGGTAAAGGTTCCCTTGCTCGAAAGCCAGTCGAATCCGACTCTAGGGTTGCGGTGCTCATCTCCGTTTCAAAGCCGAAGAGCCAGCGCTGTCCGAAGACGTTTCCGTGGTCATGTGGCCGGCATGACTAAACACCAAGGCGCACGGAACGCTGTTACCTTCCCACCGAAGTGGTACCTATTTATCTACTTGCAATTTCTTGCTTTCGAACTGCTAGGTTGGCAGGAGCTGGAACTAGAGACAGGAGCTCACCCTGTCTTGCGGCACCCGGGTCTTGAACCGCTGAACTACTGACCTTCCACAGCCTGCAGTTCAGCGTCTTAACCACTTGAGCCACCGCAGCTCCCCTATGTAGGAGATAGGGAATGATAATTCAGGTAATTTGCACTAGGCATGTTAAATCTAGGCTAGATGTGAATCAAACCCAATCTTTAGGCCTGGATAGCCCAGGCAAGCCCGATCTTGTCAGATCTCAGAAGCTATTCAGGGTTGAGTCTGGATGGGAGACCTTCTTGGAATACCAGCAGTTGGGAGGTGGGGGCAGGCTTTATTCAGCCACCTCTGTGAATATTCTCCAGGCTCACAGTAGGGGTCAGTCACCAGAGGTCGCTATGACTTCCAGGTACGCACGTGCACATATTAAAAAAAAAATCAAAACCAACAAAAAAAATGATCTTTGTTTTGGTGCCAGTTTGGTGTAGTGGTTAAGAGTGCAGACTCTAATCTGGGAGAACCAGGTTTGACTCCCCACTCCTCCACATGCAGCTGCTGGTGTGACTTTGGGTCAGTCATAAGTTCTTTCAGAGCTGTTCTCCAAGGGCAGTTGTTGAGAGAGCTCTCTCAGCTCCACCTACCTCACAGGGTGTCTGTTGTGGAGAGGGGAAGGGAAAGGGATTGTAAACCACTCTGAGACTCCTTCAGGTAGTGAAGTGCAGGGTATAAATCCAATCTCCTTCCCCATGTAAAGATGTATATATATAAATTTTATATGCCTAGCTTAATATATGTGAGAATTAAATCTTAATAGTAACAGTGAAAAAATTTCAGCATATTGAGAAGTCATATTTTTTAACTTTTGGAAGTTAAGATGTATATAGGAAGTTAACTGTCAATATTTTACATTTGGTCAGAAAAATGCATCAGGCTGTTCTTTCCCCTTCTCTCCAAGGTGCTCAGAATTGAAATGGTTCAACAAGCTATAATTCGTTATATTATCCAAATCACGAACTGTGATTTGTTCTTTTCACTCCAAACTAAGCTTAGGGCTCTTCTGCATTTTTTTTTGTTAGTTCTGGTCTCATATTGCTTTGGTTAGCCGCAAAATTCTGCACACATTTTTGCGCCTTTAATTTTCACTTCCTCCCCCCCCCCCTTTTCCCGCTGGTGCTTTAGAGACCACTTTTACCCTGATCTTTTTCTGGAGGCTGATTTTTAGTTGCATTTTTCATTTTGCGTAATGTTTCTGTCAGTTTTCTTTGTCCTGCCCACTCCCACCCACCGCCAGCCCACTTATCGATGATAGGACTGTCATTGTCAAACCACTCCCTCTCCTCCCCCCAAAGATGAGTGGCTTCATTTTTAATTTCTTTGTTTTAAATGGCACTAAAATAGCAATATACTGTTCTAATGGTACGGTAAGCAGGTTCTCTGAATTCCCAGCTTTCATTTTTTTAAAGCAAGTCTAGTGGTTAAGTGTGCGGACTCTAATCTGGGAGAACCGGGTTTGATTCCCCACTCCTCCACTTGCACCTGGCTGGATCACCTTGGGTCAGTCACAAGCTCTGGCACAGCTGTTCCTGAAAGAGCCGTTTGTGTCAGAGTTCTCTCATCCCCGCCCACCTCACAGGGTGTCTGTTGTGGGGAGGGGAAGGGAAAGGAGTTTGTAAGCCGCTCTGAGACTCCAAGTGAAGGGCGGGGCATAAATCCAATCTCTTCTTCTTCTTCTTCTTCTCCTCCTCCTCCTCCTCCTCTTTTTCCTTTGTGGAGATTTGCCTTTTTTCTTCTATATCCATTTAAGAAGAGGCTAGAGACCTACTTTTTAGAAAATGAAAGCTGGGAATTCAGAGAACCTGTTTAACCTATAAGTACATATGGGTACTGCGGTGGCTGAACTGCAGGCTGTGGAAGGTCGGTAGTTCAGCAATTCGAGACCTGAGTTGCCTCATGACGGAGTGAGCTCCCGTCTCTAGTTCCAGCTCCTGCCAACCTAGCAGTTCGAAAGCAAGAAATTGCAAGTAGATAAATAGGTACCACTTCAGTGGGAAGGTAACAGCGTTCCGTGCACCTTGGTGTTTAGTCATGCTGGCCACATGACCACGGAAACGTCTTTGGACAGCACTGGCTCTTCGGCTTTGAAACGAAGATGAGCACCGCAACCCTAGAGTCGGATTCGACTGGCTTTTGAGCAAGGGAAACTTTACCTTTTACTTACATATGGGTATGTTGATATTTGAGTGCCCAGACCCGACTCATCAAAAAACATAACCTATATTTTTGCCCTCAGTTCCTCAGATACATCTTGGTCTCAAGGGAATTACCAGCATTAGAAACATGCTCCTCATAGTGCAGTCCTAAAGAGAGTTTATACCCTTCTACGCCCATTAACTTCAATAGACTAAAAAGGATATAAAGATTGCACTAGCATACTTTTGGGGTTTTCTGGAAGTCTGTTTTTCCAAATCAAATAAAAAGAATGCAACATTTGTGTGTTGTAACCTGGGAAAATTAGCGTAAATTATTCTATCTAAAATTGACTAGAGCTGACTGCAAATTGAAGCTATTGCTTTAAAAAAAAAAAAGATGTGCTTAAGGTACTGTGTCTCCTTGCGTTTTTACTATCCCAAGGGGTAAGTTAACAAAACATTATTTTCACTTGTTTGCAGAGTAGAATTGTCATAGATGATTCATACCATAGCAAGCCAAGTTGTGATCTCTCAGGGTTAGTGACAGAGCCCAGTCTTTCAGGGCGTTCACACACTTTAACCTTCTCTTCAAATGAGGTGAGTTTTAGTGTGTCTGTGTGTATTGTTGATGTCACCATTCAGTCTACATTATACCATTTTGGTTTGTTTAAAATGAAAATGGTAGGTTATCATCATTTCACCTTAGTATTTTGATAACTGGATATTGAAAAATGTACCCAAGCAAAAAACATTTTACAAGTACACAAGAAGCTGCCTTATACTGAATCTGACCATTGGTCCATGAAGGTCAGTATTGTCTACTCAGACTGGCAGCAGCTCTCCAGAGTCTCAGGCAGAGGTCTTTCACATCACCTACTACCTGATCCTTTTAACTAGAGATGCCAGGGATTGAACCTGGAACCTTTTTGTGCCAAGCAGAGGGTCTGCCACTGAGTCACAGGCTCTCACTAATCATATTTTATATGGCTTTGCAAATCATTTTATAAGTAAAACATTACATTTTCATAGCAAATTGCAGCACTTGTTATCAGAGAAAAATTAAAATATTAGATATTAAATTCACCTATACAATGTATTAAATATACATTTATATTTAGGTAAGAGTTAATTCAAAGTTGTAAAATCCTGGATTTTATAGTGCTTTCATCAACTAATCCCACTTACAATATGTTAACTATTTAAATATTTAGTAGTTCATTGAGTTTTATAAACTACAAAATATAATGTGTATTTACTGAATAGGTCATTGAGGAAAAACTGCATATCAGTTACATTTTAAAAACATCCCTACTGTGTAGGAAGGCAGATAATTAATGAATGGTGTCACTAGCCAGTGCAGTTTACTTTGAACATGGTTACATTTTCAAATATTGCAACTTGTGTGAATGAAGTTTCTAAAAAAATACAGACATTTCATTCATTTCTAAATGACTGGTGCTTGTCTTTTTATTGTAGTGAGTAATGTATATTCAGTTACTGCTAAAACCAACATATGTCTACATGGTCTCTGTGCATCACATTGGTGGATTTTATGATTGTGCAGAGCAATGATTCAGAAATGTCCAGAGCTAGCTTTGTGGCATGAAGATTTCTCCCTGAGGAAAGTAGTCCAAAACTCTCCAGATACAGTTCTTTGCCTACCTGCCTGTCTGACTCAGTCACACTGCTGGACCTATTGATGCATCTTGGACCAGGGTATCCCATTCTTACCACCAGAACCTTATCGCACTCTGCTTGCACTGCAACATTCATTCTTTCACTCACCCCTGGGCTGTGCAAAAGAGGAAGTTACACATCGGTTCTCTGGAGCTCCTGGAAGTCTTTGGGTTTTTCTCATCAGGTAACAGCAGAGTAGTGCAGGTGGCCATGCCTAAAGCATAACCACCATGCAAACTGTGGCATAGTCCCGTGCTCTAAGGAGTCTACCCTGCTGCCTGTGAAAGAAATGCATCAACTCCAATATCATGCCCATTGCCATCCATATTGTGGGCCAGGACGTCTGTGCTGATGCCCTCAGTCACCAGTGCACTGTGGCTGAAGAGCGGGAATGCAACAACTGGTACTTTAGTCCTGTCGATGGAGTTTCCACACTCAGACCTTTTTTTGCAGCATTGTGTCCCAGAACAGGGAAAGGTCATTGATCTCTAAGAGATGCCTTCCTAAAGAAGTGGTTAAGAATAGAATTTGTCTTCTGTGCTTTGCGTCCTATCGCCCTTGTCATCAAAATCCTGGGGAAAATAGAGAAGGGACTGCATGGAATTACAGTCCTAATGACCCCATTTTGGCTTCACCAACTGTGGTTCCCCGAAGAGTCATTGCATCCTCCTCACCAGGACTTGAAACATGTTGTGACAACATCGCAGAAGGATCTTGTACCTGGATCCTTTTCAATGCATGGAAGCCATCTATGAGGAGATCCAGCAAGTGTAAGTGGAAGCAGTTCACCTTCTTTGCTTCCCAATGTGGGTAGAATCCCTCTACCTCCCCCCCCCGCATCTGTTATAGAGTATCTGCTACATTTTCAGCCTTGAGCTAGAACATTCTTCTCAGAGATCTCAGTGCCTCTTCTTGAAGTACAACCACTTTTCCAACAACCTCTGATGAAACTGTTATTCCAGGTTCTTCCAGTCCAGACTCCCGTCTCCTGCATGGAATCTGCAGCTGGTCCTGAAGCAATTAATGGGTAAAACCTTTGAGCCTCGGGCTACAGTTGACATCAACCTCATCACCTTCAAAGTGGCTTTCATTATCCGTGTATGTTCTCTAAGATGAGTTGCGGAACTCTGTACACTGAGATAGGATCCTCCTTACATCAGTTTTCATCAAGAGAAGGTGAAGGTGATGCCTGACAATAGCCTTTTACAAAGGTCATCTCAGGCTTTTACCTGAATCAGAATTTGATTCTACTGAACTCCCCCCACCCCCCTCGCCAGCCACAGATACAGAACATTTGGCCTGAGCAGGGCATTTTAATTTTTTGTGGACGTGGACAGCATCTTTCAGGCAAGACAAGAAACTATTACTCCGGAGCCCATACAGTCTGAGGCTGTGTTCTTGAGGAAGAGGTCTTCATGACAAAAAAATAGCTGTAGCAGCTTCTGAATCACTGCTCTGCACAGGTACAAAGACTATGTGAATTTATAGATGACCACTCAAAAAACAGCAGTTACAGGTAAGCATATTTTTAATATTGTGGAGGATTCAGTGATGTGGTGTGAGTTAAAAGTCATCCTCATTGTTGAACTTCACAGTCCTTCATGAGATATAGTCACTGTCATCCAGATTACAATTGCTCTTTAAAAATTCTTTTGTTTGTGAAACAGATATGGCTTCTTCACAGTACTGGCTGACTTCTATGTTTATGAACTTTTGACCTTCCATTTTTTTTTCTGCTCTTCTGTATTTAGACAGGTACAGTTCTTCACCTCTCT